TTTGTTTAGGTTGTGATCAGTTACATGGGCATTTTCCTCCTTTTATTTTATTTACAGCTGTACTTTTTTACCATCTCTTATTCTTATGCAGTAAATGTTTAAGTGTAAGAATAGCTGTCCTGGCTGAACTTCGCCATTAAGCTGCTCACTAATCTAATTATAGATAATAATATATGCATTATCTGTAATTTGTTTTTTCTAATAAAAGACGGTTTATTATTATTATTATATATTAGAAAGAGATATAAGCCGGCTGAAGAGCGAAGGTCATATGTCAATATGTTACACCAGAAATTTTTCGCACACGCTGTTACAATAGGTTAGGTCAAACCCAAGGTCTGTTCGAACATTTAATTTAATATATTATTTTCATTTTGATTAGAATTATTTATTTCAATTTTGATGCGACTTAGTGTTTTAATTTATTTTAGAAATACATTTGATTTCCACCGATGGTGATAAAATCAACACATCCTGAGTTATTGTTACATTTTGCGACAGCGAGCGGTCGGAAAATGTAGCTAATACCATTACCCTACTGAACGGGGCCGTAGCAAATGCTTGTTCCGGAAGTTGTTGTATTCAGTGTACAATTTCTTCCCGTTCAAGTGATTGTATACGCGATAGGGAATAACCTCAGTAGCGAGGCCGCAAAATTTGGTATTACGGACATGCCGACTGAGAGGGGCTCAGAGACTTCTTCTCCACCTTCCAGTCTGTTCATCGATAGCTGAAATAATCCACGTAGGGATGGAGGAATTCATCTCTTATACAGTGAAAGTGCCTCAACCAGGGTTCAATAGCTGGTTCAACAAATCCTGCGACACTGCTCGGAGGCTCACAGAACCTTCTTACAATACCTCATTATAGAAAATAGACCAGCCGACGTCGAGTCCAAAAACAAATATAACGAAGCGGTTCGCAATGCCAAAGACCAGCCCGAAATGAAAGTTAGGCACAGGTTAATGTCGCAGCGCAATGGCAGTCGGTATTTCTGGAGGCTGGCCAAGCAGATTGAAAGGATCTTCTCGCAGAGCAGCCTTCCACCACTTACGTGCAGAATGGAACCGACTCAAAAGGCTAAGGTGTTAGTGCTTGCCAAGATCCCTACCACCAACTCCACCATGGACGTCCCCCCCAACGCAAAAGTGCCTGTAAATTCAAAGGGTTCCCTCCACTATGCGGGAGGTAACATTCAGGCATAAGACCGTAAGTCGAATGCTCTTGTCGTTCGAGATCAACAAAGATTCTGGTCCGGACTTGATTCCTGGCATTGTACTGAAGAGATGTGCAGCGGAGCAGTTCTTTTGCGTCTCTTCAAGATATCTTATGAATCCGGCACCTTCCCAGAAATCGAGCCCAAACCCATTCCAAAAAAAGGATTAAGACCGACCCTTACAACTACAGGCTTATAGCTCTGCTTTCTCTTATAAGTAAGGTGAGGAGAGGTGCATAAATCGCGAGCTTCTGGACTAGCTCGAACGTTACGACTTGATTGGTTTCCGGCACCAGCGATACACAGGGGACCTCGTAGCTTCAGACAATTCGGGAGTAAACCCATCCAGTCTATGGCGAGGCTCATGTCGTTGCTCTTGATATCACGATATCAGGTGTGGCATGCTGCCCTCTTATGCAAACTTCCATTCTATGGCCTCCCAGAGATGCTTTGTAGATGCGTAACTGACTTTCTCTCTGGCCGCAAGATGTCTGTCGTAATTGACGGGTTCTCCTCTTCATCCCACAACAAGGACTTGATGTGGCAGGAACACATCTCGTCAATAGCGGCAGATGCGGGAAAAAATCTAGGCTATTTCTTTAGGGCTCAGAAATACTTTTCTCCGCGTGACCTCCTCACTCTATACAAGGCCCAGATAAGACCTAGCCTTGAGTAATGCTCACATGTTTGGGGTGTTTCCGCCCAGTCTACATTAGGCATGCTCGATGCTGTTCAGAGGAGGGCTGTCCGACTGATCGATGACTCTTCTCTAACAGACAGGTTCGGGACCTTTTCGACCCGCGGGCCGTCAGCGATCTAGCTGTCTTCTACCGCTACACCAACGGGCTTTGCTCCACATAGCTCTCCTCCATGATGCCACCGCGCGATCTGCCTGCCAAACAGAACCGCTTGATTAGGATATATTAAAAAAATACTGAATTCTGAAAATACCGTAAACACACTAACCTGCGACGGTTTACCAACAAAAAAATATCTATGCTGCACAACTGTGGTGTGTTATTTTCGTAAGAAAGTAGAACTTGGACCTAGCTGTTGTTCACTTGCTGTGCACACGCTCTAGCTACACGTGTTGCCTAAACGTCATGACGCTTAAACTATCTGATGTGATGTAACATCTGCTTCAGTGATGGCATTATTGGAGGTCTACGCTGTAAGTTGTATACTATAGCTGGAAGGAAACGGCAGTGCATGGATGCATAGAGAGGATTTGTGTGCTTATAATATGTGTTGATGATAATTCCAATGGTTTTTTGTCTCAAATACACTTACTTCAAAGCTAGAAATTAGTTGCGCATCCATTTGAGAGAGATGAGAAAAGAAAATAACTGGCTGGTGAAGTATATTACAGGTGAGAAAATATGCCACAGGAATATTTATGAAACGTGAAAATGTAATTCATTTTACTTTATTTTTTATTTCCAGTCATTTAAATTTTCTTAGAAATTTATTTTGCGATGTCAAGGATATAATACAAATCAGCACGTAGATGTGAGGTACTGCGAAAATGTTTTTTGTGTCGTGCGTCATTTCTAATTTTTTTGTGACACAACACGGGTGCGGTGCTGATTTCCCGTAATGCTTCCCAAAGTTTTTGAAAATTCAAAAAACCGGGAGAAATCGTGAACTATAACGTTGAATATAACCTCTCTTCAGAAAGGACAACACAAATAACCCGACTGATACTGCTAATAGAAATACTCCATTTTTTACACATGTAGACCAGTGTACGCACAATCAACCATATGCGATCTTCCTATTCTGCTACTCAGCCAATTTTCCATTTCACATTCTCTAAGAGTTATACTCTACTCTCGGCATTCTGCAACCAACAAAGCATGTTGGGAAATTGACTTGCAGCTGGTCATTGAGCGTGTCGTTGAGTCATTCCTGTATAGATAACGCTTTTGGTGACGCTCACAGTGCTCAAAGCGAGCAAAGTGGAACATTAGGAACTATCTAGTCAAGGAGTTGACAGATCGTGGTTTTTTGACATTATATTTTTTACGTAATAACCCAATTGTATGGACCTGTTTGATGGACTTGATGTTGAGGCGATAAAAAGATTATCTGGAAGATAAATTGAAAACTCTAAGGCTTTAATTCAAAACAGGAATTTTAAAAAAAACAGTTACCAGAAATATCGTTTCCACAGTGACATGACATAAAACACCAGTAGCTAATAAATAAGTACATTATATGAAACACCAAAACTGAACATACATCAATAGAGATGAATCTCCATCAACTAACATTGTTTGATTCGACATGTATACTATAATACAAAGACATTTAATAAAACAATCCTAGCTGATGTACATAAAAATCTTGTCTTTCAACATTCAATAGCTTTGTCAATATGTCGGCTAACATATTATCATTTGACCTGTATGACAAACTTATTTCATTACAAGTCAACATTTCTCGAATATGTATAATGATATGCTATATCTATATGTTTAGTTCTACCATGATGATGTTCATTCTTGCAAACTCGAACGACACTATACAGGGTGTCCAATAAGTACCATGACAAACTTAAGGAGAAGGTAGTCTTTGGACTGACCTCCTAAATAACAAAAACTTACCTATATAAAAGTGTCACTGTTTTTGAGATATGGAATTTTTTCTTAAATTTAAAAAAAGGGAACTTTTCGTCTGTGGTCTTTAGCTGCATATACAAATAAGGTTATACGTTCTTAATTTTTTCTATAAAATTCTTTTAGATAGTTGCTTTATCATATACAAATGCAGTGTAGTTAAAAGATAATATTGAGGAACCATGATCAAATAAGGGCTATTTTGGGATTTATAACCGTCTGATATTTTTTCCTCAACTTTGACCATCTGTGCTAAAACAAAAATGTACTGGGCTATAACTGTATTATATTTAATAAAAAGATTGCTCATTGAATACAGACTTCAGAAAGGCACCACACGTACTGTTTGGAATAGAAAAAAGTGATAGCTGCGTTTGTAAGTGACTGACACACACTACAATGTAATTATCGGATTTAAATTCAAGTTGCACTGGTTACCGATCAATGACATGCTAAATAGTACAAAGCTACATTATTATTACGTGCTCCTGATATGATTTTATGAAAGTTGAGGAAACAATATCAGAAGATTATATAAATCCCAAAACAGACCTTATTTCATCATGGTTCCTTAATATCTTTTAACTATATTGCATTTGTACCTATATGATAAAGCACCAACATTTTTTAAAATCTAAGAAAAAATTCAATATCTCAAAAACGGTGACACTTTTTCGATTTTTCGGGAGATCCCGTAGTGATCCGGAGCGGGAACAGACGGAATTTCCCCTTCCTCTCGAAGTTTTGACAGTTTCAAGTTAGACCGGGAGTGGTTAGATGGCGCATGTTGCCCAAAATGTTTGCTTTGAGCTCCTTGATAAACTTAGCTGCCTTGTTTGAATCTGAAATAAAAAGACCGATCGTTTTTTGTGCAATGTACATATATATCATTAAAATCAATCATTTCATATGACAGGTGCGGTTCATATATCTTCGATGACCTTCTCACTCGTCATTTAAAATCAGGTGGACGTGTTCCTCCATTTATGATTTAATAATAATTTAACATTCGGACGACGCACATTGGGGCAGAATCCTAAAAAGTTGGCCAAAAATCAAATTTTTGAGTTGTACATATTCGTCTATACACGTTTAGATCTTGTTTACGGATAGTCCGAGAATGACATTCCGGACAGGGCAGGTATATACTTGCTCTAGGGTCGCCTTGACATCAGTCGTCATTCAGACGTCGTTCGGTACGCACTAAGCATGTGTACACGTCGAAAAATTCTGGCCTGTTTCGAAGTGCTGTAAAACAGACGAAACTATCTCAATTTGAATTGTGCAAAATTGAATCACTTTCTGAAGGTATGCAGAATATTTAGTTATGCATAGTTGTTGCTTATTTTATGTTTGAAATATGTAAGTTTTACAACAAATAAAGATAAACAATTGTACATTTTTTTTCTAAAGTAGTTTTAAAAATGTCTTCGCGAGTGTCGATCTTGTTTCGACAAGGAAGTGATAGTGTATATTATGACATATAATATAGTAAAAATCTGGCTGCTCAGGTGTGCTCAACGAATAGTTAGACTAATTTTTAGGGAGAAATACGTAGCGCGACATTAATGGACGTGTGACTGTAATGCATTGATTATTATTACCGATCGGACAACTTTCTGAAGAGGCTCAAGAGTCACGCAATAAGAACATCAAGAAATACAGATTAAATAATGCAAGAAAATGCTCTAGAGAATCGAATTTGAGAGATATCTTCAATAGGCTCTTAGTAACATCAGATCCATTTCTCTCAAGCATCAGGAAATTGCCCCAGAGACCGGCGAAATCTTTACATAAAGAAGCTCTACGGTTGTTAAAACAACCTGAAGTCACCAGACAAAAGACAATGAACGATTCCGATTTAGATACAAGTGGGTCAACATCAGAATATGAATCGAATGATTCAAACATTGAAGATGACGTACAAGATTTTTGTTACTAGAAGTAAATAACAGATAGGTATTCATTTTATTGCAAATTGTTTATAAAAGAAATTTTTGATAAATAAGAAACATTGCTCGAAAGATTTTTTACTCATTAAAATCTAAAAATATTACAAAAGATTTTCTATTTAAAAATATTAAAAAATTAAATTTTTTTCCGGAATCCTCCACATATCGCGTCTGCTATTTTGAAAATTAACATTTTGATAACCAATTCGTAATCAGCGATTCCAAAAACCATAATCAAATACAATTGGGTATTTTTACTGGATTATTTGACTAATTGGTTAAATTATGTCCGCCATTTTGAAAATCGTAATTTTGATAAAAAATTCATATTCAGCGACCCCAAAAGCCTTCCAGAAGAGAATTTGAGATCATTTACGACACTTTCTGAATTTTTGCCAGCTTTTTGGGATTCTGTCCCACTATGCGACGTCACATCCGTCTTCCCCTATTCCCGTTCTTCGCGAAAATTTGAGTATCGGTTCCCGGTAGTGCACTGTGCTACACCGTGGACTCGCGAAAAAATCCTTATAGGTAAGTTTTTGCTATTTGGGAGGTCAGCCTAAAGCCTACCTTCTCCCTAAGTTTGTCGTGGTACTTATTTGACACCCTGTATACTGGTATTAATCACAAATCTAATTTTAACGCTTTCATCGAATTGCGCACAAAACAAATGCCCTTACAGAGACTTATAATATTCAGCCTCGGATGAATGTGCCAGTTTCTTTTGTTTCTTAGCTTCCCAGAAAATTGAATATCTCTCTATTGTGTTATCACCCCAGTAGCATCAGCACACGTGGTAATCTCACTAGTAAGGAGTCTTGTAGCTTTACATTACTCCATATTAAACATGGTAACAACCTGTCAACATAGCTTCCTTGTCACAAGTTACTCTTACTAATTTAATGCCTAGACAGTTTTGTACCTCACCAAGAATTTTTATATCAAAATTCTTCTTAACACTATCATACCACTCTTTCTGTAAAGTAGCACATTCACTAAATATGAAAAAAATCATCAATAGAAAGAGCAATCACTATCAACTTCTTATAGTTTTTGTAGATATAAATATATCTTTCACAAGCACTTTGGGTATAACCTGGATCTACAAGAACGCAATGAACCTTGACATTCCAGGTTCTACTATAAATGCTCTTATTTAATCTACAAGCATTACCGCTGTTCTTATAAAAACCATGAAGATTTCTTCATCCAGTTTACCATGGAAGAATGCAGTTTTAACATCTAAATGTTCTATATCCATATCTCTTATCATTAGCTAGAGCAAATAAAAACCATATAGTTGAATGTCTAACAACTGTATTTTCACAGTAAATTTCAAATTTTAGGCTAAAGCCCCGTGCTACCAACCAAGCTTTAAAGATGGGGGCACCATTATTAAGTTTAATTTTGAAAACTCATTTACTTTTTACAACATTAACATTTTCAGGTCTATCCACCATGTAGATGTTAAAGATTTTAACTCATCTAAAATAGTTTGTTCACATTTGCCTTTAACAGTACTTGCAATGCCTCTTGAATTGTAAGAGGTTCACCAGGAATTGTCAAAAAGCTGAATGTTCAAAAACATCACACGTATCATACCTAATAGCAAGTAAACTGACAAAGGGAACATAATGCATCCAGGTTTCTAACATTACGAACATATCTGTCTACTAAAGTTCTCATTTGCTTTAATATCAGAAATGTTCGAACACTTATCTTCTTTGTTAGTTTTACTTGAAGCAGATGAAGAAGAACTACTAGAATTAGGTGTAGTACCAGCATCTGAAATAGTCTGATATTTATCTGGTTCAATTACATCGACGGCAGGGACTGGGATGGACTTAGGTTCAATATGTTCTGAATGCACAGAAACAGATACAAGTTCAATATGCTCAAAATTCACAGAAATATTCAAGCTTAATGCCTTCAGAATTCATAAGTTTTAGCCTGCCAGGAAAAGTTACAATTACATCCTTATCGATATTATCAACGTTTTATTTACGTTAATGTAAAAAAAATTCTGATTCAATAAATGCAACATAATGCGTCTCAATCAATCTTCCTCCAACATGAGGATCTGCAAATATATCCATTAGTCCCCTCTACATAACCTATAATTATGTTTGAGCTAGCTTTCAAATCTACTTTTCTTCTTCTTTGTTCTAAGGCATAGGCTTTACAACCCAGCACCCGGAGATTTGAAATATTTTTACCAGACCAAGCTTTTTCTATGGTGGGATTATCTAATGCAACTGTGCGACATCTATTTCTCAAATAATTAGCAGTATTTAAGCTTGTCCCCAATAACGTTACGTACCTACCTCTACGCTGACGACACTGCAACTTGTCGCTCAGTCGTGTAATGGTGATCTATATAGTTCATGATGGGTTGCAGAGTGCGGTGGACGAAGTACTGGAGTGGGCGAAACGGTGGCTAATTAAAATTAATCATTCGAAAGCCCAGGCTATTTATTGTACCAAAAAAAGTCGCGGCCCCCCAGCCGAGGTTTCGGTAGACGGAAACGTATATCATGGACACATTCTGCCAAGTATCTCGGTGTCACCCTTGATAAAGGCATGACCTGGCAGACAAATTCAGCAGAGTGGAAAACAAAATTCCAATTTGAGTTTCGGGAACTATATCCTTTGTTGTGTAGATTATCCAAATTGAGTTTGATAAACAAAGTTCGACTATATAAAATGATTATTAGACAAAGCCATTTTTTATGCATGTGCGGCTTGGTGTTTTCTTGCCAAAACACATATGCAAAGTCTTCAAGTACTGCAAAGCAGAACTTTACGAACAGTTTGCATCGCTCTATGGTATGCCTCAAATGAGACACTACACAGAGACCTTGACGTTCCTTGCTTGAGGGATTATGTCAAGCTTCAAGCATAGCGACGTTATAGTCAAGCGGAATCACACAGCAACCCTCTATTGCGAGACTCAGTCGAGCAACTTCGTAAACATTCCAGGCCACGGATCGCACTGTGATCAAAAATTAGCGCGAACTTTTAGTAAACTCAAAATTACGCTCTAACAAAATCTGAATCAAAATTTGTTTTTAGTTCACCTCAAAATCCGTGTATCAAATCAAAAAGCATAGGCGTTTCCTCTTAAACTCGTACACTTCTGCTTTTCTTTGCTTTTCTCCTTTTTTCTTCTCTTTGCCTTTCTCTTTTTCCTTGACACTGTCTGGTTTCTGGGCAACCAAGGCTGACAGATAAACAAATGACGAATAGTAACTAGCTTCCCAAATTGAATGTTCATAGGTTAAATAGTTTTCGAGATCTCGTGACTAATGAGCGAGCATCTTTTCGCATTTACATATCTACCCATTATCCCTTGCCCCCCACCACATAATAAAAAATTGCATAGTTGCAAATTCTCGTCTCATTTGTATAAAATCAGAGGTCTGAATTTATCTAAATAGAGTAGAAACGTATTTAAAATGAAGAGCTCTTATAAGGTATGTAAATCAAGAGAAATATCTAACTGTTGACACAGACCGTTGACTGCCAGTTATGTTTTTGCGTATCCTGTATCAAAACGTATGCAATCATTAGTTAAATTTTAAATGCAAGTTTTTCTGAATGAGTGCGATTTAGCTTACGGAATCAATTATGAAGGAAATATCAGGATATTAAACATTTTTCGAAACCATGTGCGTTTTGTTGCAAATTCCATGGAATTTAGTGAACAAGCGTGTCAAAACATTCCTTACTTATTATTTAGTTTTGAATCACTTATCACTTGTAAATATATAGTTTTTAATATTTTTTATGAAGCAATGTCCAAGAAAATTTACAGTGCTTCATAGTTTCAGATCCTTTAGAACTAGTCAAGTTCCTTTTGGTAGATAATAAAATAGTTTTAGAAATGATTTTTGAAAAATGTTACAATCTTTGAATATCATAAAATATTCTATAATTCTCATGTAGATAATTTGGTTATTGAGCTGATTGTATTAACAGATTCTCTAACACTCCCAAAATTCAGTTACCAAATGAGACAGAATCAATCGATCGTTGATTGCCCAACAATCGGTTATAAGTTGTAACCACGTTTCCGTCTCATAGTCTAAACATTCAAAGCCAACACCGAAGCGTGCGTTGTTTTTGATTTTTCATCCGGCATAGTAAGCAACGATGCTCTTCAAACTTCCATTTCGCATTTCAAATACAATCGAACTGTTTTATTTGTTCTTTGCATGCATGATTTACCCCGTTTAATACGATTTTAGGGCGTTCATTGTGATAACAACTACAGCGGCAAGCAAAAAATAGCGTCAAGTATATAGACTTCCCACACAATACCGTCATCAGTTCATAAAGGATTATGTTCAGCACATG